GCGCCATCACGGCTGCCTACCCGCCACTGACACGCAGTCCACATCCTGCATCATCAAACTTCTGAAAACTGGACGGGGGGGATAGGAATCAAAGTATTAGCGGATTTTTTTTATCCTGAGCTCCTTAAAGTGATTGTAGCTTATTTAAAGGTAATACAATAATGCTGAGGTGTTCTTCCTTAATAAGAACACCTTGGGAATGCAAATAGGAAGGAAAGAGAATCAAAAATTCAAGATGGGGTCGGACAAGCTTTGAAATTCTTCTCCCCGGTGAGTTACACTAGTGGATATTTAAAAAAAAAACCTGCCTAGATTTTGTTCAGATTTTCACACTGAATTCCCAATTCCCTTAATAAGAAGCTAAATCAATCTTTAGAGAACAAACCACATAAGACCTGTGGCTCTAAATTATTGAAATATACTCAAGCAATGTTATGGTGTAAGGCTTCAACTTCCAGCAGCCTGCAGGGATCACAAGCAGGATCCGACCAGGTTATCTGGACAGAGGGCTCAGGGGAGCCGGGGCAGGCCAGGCTCCTCGCTGGGCACCCGGGGTCTGCCCTCCCGCCTCGGTGCCTCTCCCCGAGTGGCAACCCTGAGCGCCAGCCATCAGCGACCTCCCCTCCTCCCCAGGAACAGCTCTGCTGGCGTCCCTCGCTCCCTGCCAGACAGTTTTTCAGATGCTCCTTGTTTCTTCTGGAGAGGAAAGAAGAGAGGGAGGAATGAACTTGCTGGGAAAGGGCGCGCGTTCCCTATGCGAGCCCTAACAGCTCAGGATTTGCACTGAAATCCCTAAACAAACAGTCATCTCAAACACCATGCCCCAAATAATGGAGTCTGACTACCAGACAAGTGAAATACAAACCTTGGGTTTAAAAAAAAAAGAAAGAAAACAAGGGCATGAAATCAACAAAACAGGGGATGTGAAATTCCTCATTAAAAGGCTCCTGAATCAAGCAAACGCACCTGCAGAAGAAAAGGCCACTGCCTGCAGCCACCTGAGGCGTGGCCAGAGCTTGAAGCCCACACAGAAATGGTCACCAAGGATGCCAAGGAGCCCAAGGTGAGGGAAGACCCCAGG